TGTTCTCTCACGATTATGTTTTCTTTTTTCATACGCGCTCCATACCCATTTTTGCTTACCCTCTCTCTCCAATGTTTCTATACCCTCTGACCTGTTTACTGCTCTGCCTTTACATCCATCTCAATACTACTTTTCAATGACCTCCCCTTTTCTATTTCTCTATTGACTTTTTTAAAAATAATTTCCTCACTCTTTTCTACTCGTTCTTAAGCAATCCCTCATGCCTCTTTGCCTCTCTTTCACTGCATTTTTTTCCAAAGCTTGTTCTGTCTCTTATTTCTCCTTCCTTATATATATAATTGCCTTTTTATCTTTTGTTTGCTTCCTGGGTGATAACTAGCAGCTCTCAAGATCATAAATTGTTTTCTCAGATCAAAAGGTGGACTATTTTCTTTGATAGGTAGGCAAGTAGGATGTTCAATGTGAGTGAGTAGAAGAACTGCCTCTTTACAATGTGTAAGACTCCAAGTACATTTCATTCTGCTTATACAAAAGCCACAGATACAAGTCAGTTCTGTGTGAAGCTGAGAAATTGCATTTTCAGCCTCCTGGTCCAAAATGGTTACAAACGCTGCTGCAAGTCTTATTGGTTCACAGTTAGCTGGAAATAGGAAATCAGCAAAGCACTCACACCACAGGTTATGGGTAAATAATGCTTTCAGAATAAAAACATATAAATTATAAATAAATCACGCAAAGGCTATCAAATGCAAGGTCCCAATAAACAAACAGATATGTATATTTTTTATTGATATATGAGAAAAATACCTGTATCTACATATTAATTAGAGCTATAAGTAAAACTCCAGTGGGATTTTAAAAATTAATGATAATGTAATAGATTGGAACGCATAATGCAGATAAATTGACGTACTAAATAACACATTTTGTGTTGAGAATTGAACTTGAGAAAATAGCTTATTAGAATAAATGTTTGCTTTGCTAACTACTTGAACAAAGTAATGACGTATGTTTGAGTGAATTTATTATGGCAAATATGACAAATCTGTGTGGGGTATGTTCTGTTGTAAGAAACGTTAAAACTATGTGTTCATGCTATAGTAGTTTCTGTATAGTTTTATAATTTAATCATTAATAGCACACATTGTTGGGTAAATGTAAACATACATTTAACATGTTTGTATTGTTCATGCTGTTGTAAACAAACAAATCAAATATTACATGTAAACAGACATGTTTCAAAGCTAATTTATGTCAGGCTTCAGTACTGAAGAGAAACATTTTAGGTACAATTACTTGGTTTTAGTATGTCTGTTATGTTGGGTGGGCTATTTTTGTACAGGTTCTGCAGTTTGTTTAAATGTAGTAATCTACATAACTTTAAAGAAGTTTACACTATACTGGGTGCAACAAATGTTGTTTTTTCTGAAACACTTAAGCAGTAAAACAAAATAGGGTCAGCAGAATCTAGTTCATGTTTCTGGGGGTTTTGTGGCTTTGTGTCTAAAAAATCACGTGGATTTGCATCTTTGGAAGCTGTTGTAACACTAACATCTATACTAGCACTTGGTCGAATAATGCTAATGAGAAGGTAGGTAGTATGTAAATAATCTCACTGGGTGACCTACTTCTGGTGTTGGTAGGATAGAATGCTCCAGCTCTTTCTATAAAATGAGGCATTTCTACTGTAGGTAGAGATGGACAATATGCAAGCGCACACTGGGTGCAGAAAAGTGGACTTCTGGCATACTCTTGTAATTTCTCTGTATCATAGTCCATTTCCCCCTGGAACAGAGTTGTTGGGAAAATATAACCATCACTAGATTCCTCACCACCACCAAGGCCAGATATTGGACATACTCTGCTCTACCTCTATAGTAAAGAGTGGCACTGACAAAGTTTCTGCTGAACTCTCCCTTACTTTCTTCTTGTTGCAACACAGGCAACATCTACAAGATCACAGGTTAAACTGATCCCTTGTCCCAAATGAATCATGAAGCACAGAAGCTAAAATCCTAGAACTATCTGTGGTAGACAACTCTGCAGTGCTAGTGGAAGCAGCAGCAGAAATTATTGCAGGAAGAAAAGGCTGAGAAAAATCCAATTACATCATGGGTGGTGAAATAGACTCAACAGAAATGTTACTCCCACTGAAATGATGGTGGTGGTGGCAGGGAGGAGCAGGTGGCAATAGTGCACATGGCTGAGAAAAAGGTGTTCACACTCTCAGACCATGACGCTACTGCTGGTGGTAAACTTGAGATCACGACTCATTACCCTACCCTTTCTCCATTTCTTCTTGTGATTATGGTGGGTTTCTTTTGCTTCAATTAGGTATATGAATAATTGTGTATATTGTGACTTTACTTAGCTAAAATACATTGTGGCTGATGGATTTACTACTGTAGTATTTTGTTTGATGTTAACAAACACTGCAAAGTAGTTTACACATTTGCACAGCGAACACAGACTTTTCTTTCATCCAAACAGTAAACGAAAAAAAGAACCTTGTTACAACTATTTATTGGTATTGGTAATGTAGTCCTACACTAGGATCAGTGGCATAATGCCTGCCAATCTCCTATTTAAAATTTTTGTCTAGAGCCTCTGGCAGTCCATGTTAGCTAAATATAACAGAAACTGCTAAAACTAATATCACAAACAGAAAATACTCCCAAGGAAGCCTGAATGTATTAGATAAAAACGTAGGATTGTCATTGTGTACAAATTTATTTTTATTACCATTGGTGGATTTTTGAAGCAAGTTAGGCTTTCTCATATTGGTCATTAACCTGGCCTGGTTTACAGAGGTGATCCAATATCTGGGAGTGTCTGATCTGTCTCTTACACTTTGGCAGATGATATGTCTATTTTTACTTTGCACTTTGTAAGTGGAACTCTTTAATAATGTGTTCAGTATATTATGTTCTACACTATGTGTCTTTTCTCCTATCCCGACATGCATGTTACTCTCAGAGAAAAATAGAACTGAAAACTTGATTGGGGATTATGCCTTCAATCAAGATTTTGTTTGTGAGTGCAGCACAAACTACCATATTGTGATGTTAAAACAATGCTGCACTATACACTGATCAGCCACAACTGCAACCAACTGTCTAATTTTATGTAGGTATAGGTATTTAGATATATGAATGATTGTGCATTTTGTAAACTAACAGAATTTTTTACCTCTGAACATGTCCTGTGGAATCGGGCACCAACATATTAGGATCATTCTATTTATATTAAGCTCACATTAGATACCCATACACACACAGCCATGAACACATCGGAGATTTGTTTTTTTAAAGTCCAATGCTTCCTTTTTCCCAAGAGAAACAGACTACATCTTCAACAGAAGGTAAAACCCCAGCGACTACTGAAAAAGCATGTATGAAATGAGGGCGTGAGAAAAGCACTCCTTGGGATGACTTTGCTTACTAATGCCGACTCCGGTCTAAATCACACACAATACCACTGTATTTAGAATGTTCTCATTGTGTTCATTGAATGTAATACCTAGTTCTGAATATTTCTGAATGGGGAAAAAAATAAGAGATTTAAACATGAGGCTTATCAAACTTGCAGTGTGTATGTAAAATTAACACTACAGTGTATAAATAGTAGATATAGGTCTCAATTTAATATTTTTTTATTAGCTTTTTAAAGAATTTAATATTATTGGATAAGCATTTCAAATAATTTTTACATTCTATATAAAAAATTAAACTAAGGCCATAGTTCTATATGAATTTTATATGACTGTTAATGAGTTATTTGATACACAAAGTGAAATGCACACTATAATAGCTAAAATGCACACACATGTAATTATATTTGCCTTGCATGTTGAGCAGAGAATATTGAATTTAATTATTTTAAATATTGTTCCTACGAATTTTGTTTATTTTATGTTGTCATTATACACTACTGGATTTATTTCTCAAATCTAAATGTGTTGAACTTAAAACTGTAAATGCAGGTCACAGGAAAAGACATATATTAGATCTACATTTTTGTTTTAACTTTCAGAACATCTCTCTGCAATAATGATAGTTTGTCACTGTAATAATAAGAAACAGAAATTCTTCACTACTTACTGCAAAAAGCCTCAAGTGTGTTTATCGGACAAAAAAGCAAAACAAGACATCTTTGAAGGTATCTTTCAACTTTTCCAATACGTTTATGGAGCAATTGAAAAATAAGAAGTCAAAAGATGTGTATTGTTTTCTGTGCCTAATAAATGTATTGAAAGATGTTCGTGCTAAGCAGTAAATGCATTAGGTTTCTTATTAGTCATTTTTTATTGGTTTTTGCCTGCTAGGAGACATAAGGGTTATCAAAGTATCAAAAACTAGGTTAAGGCACACCATTCTTAAAAACATTACTCTGAGCAACACTTGAATAAACTTAATATTAAGAACACATTCAGTATGCAATACACACTTGTATGTTCTTCTACTTGCTACAATTTGCAAAGAGAAAAAAATGGTAATTGGAAAAGAGAAAAAGGGGTTGCATTTGGCACCTAATAACTTTTTTTTAAAGAGAAAGAGGTTGTGTCAACCTTAATATGCTTATACCTACTTGTAGGGGAACCTCTGACGTCCAAAAAAAATGCATCTTCCCAAAATTGACACAAGAAAGTAAAAATAATGTCTGTTCGTGATTCCCACACATAGTGCAGCTGCTTGGATAAAAACAAGCATCTTTTTATAGAGGATGTAAGCTCTATAGTATTCTTAGGGTGTCCATAGGTTTGCAGTATCCAGGTTGACATATCCATTAGGTAATACAGAAATAGGACATGGCACATATTATTTGTGTCAGAGTTACACATAGTAATTTAGGTTGAAACTAGACAATTGGGGGGCGTGGCCTAGACACGTAGAAGATGGCAGCATAAAAGATGAGCTCCGTCCCAATCAGCTAACATTAGCATTGAAAGAGCGCAGAAAGGCACGATAATGGGGCGCACTAAATGCCCTGACAGCTCCCAGACCCCCAGGGGCCATCCCAGCAGCTCACAAGCTGGACCCATGGACGGCTTTGTTAACCCGTCGACGGGACCACACCACGAGGCCGCGGGTACTAACATGGTCGCCTCCCCGACTCACTCGCTCTCCTCGGAGGCCGGCAGGCCCTCGCTAGCCAACATCAGCGCCGATATCAGAGCCCTGACTGCAGCAATGGTGACCAAGGAAGACCTCAGGGCCCTCTCTGAGAACCTACACTCAGCGATCCGTGCGGAAGTCACCGAGATGAAGGCAGACATTACAACACACTCTGGCAGGATACAGGTGGTTGGATCATCCTCCCAGGCCCTGACAGCACAAGTGGAAGCTGCAAATCTCGCCATTGCCAGGCAAGGTAACATGCTACTTGCTATAAGACGCCAAACTGAGGACCTGGACAATAGGGGACATAGGTCCAATATAAGAGTGCGGGGCCTACCAGAGCCAGATGGGGAAGAGAATGTGGAAGCCACACTGCTAGCACTGTTCCAGGAAATATTGGGGGCTGAGGCACCGATGACCATAGAATTCGATCAGAGCACACAGGGTCAATAGAGCTCGGGCGTTGGATAATTCACCATGAGACATAATTTGCTGCCTACACACTTACAAGCTAAAAGAACAAATAATGAATAAAGCATGCTCAAGACCAACATGGAGATTCCGTGACCCAGAGGTGGCACTATATCAAGATTTATCCCCTCTAACTTTGGAAGCCCGCAGGGCCCTGTGACCCGTCACATCACTTCTTAGAGAAAGGGGTATCCCGTATAAATGGGGCTTCTCCTTTATGCTACTAGCAAGGCAACACAACGAATGGACCCCCTTATGCTGGCCAGAAGAGGTACCTAGATTCCTACAGAGACTCAGCATACCACCAACAGAGGTTGTCAATTGGATACTAGGCCCTGTCGATCAAAGACAGGGCCCACAGACACCGGGACAACAGAGGAGACACATAGATGGCACACCGAGGCTCCCGCAGGTCCGCAGACAGCTCGCACCGACAGACTAGAGGAGTGAGGATGAGGACCTTCCCGCCTCACCCTACCAGACAAGAGCAAACCATCTGTGATCTGCACGTACCGACCCAGAGGAAGAACCCATTGAGAGACCAGAGTTTTCCAGCCTACAGGACTACCCAGATAAGTACTACTTACATTACACGAACAGGAAAGGGCGCTGACCTGGGCACCCACACGCGGCTTCGGGGCACCCCTATGGTGTAGCATGAGGTCAGACTGGACATGCTACCCTGATTTGGGAGGGGGTCCAGGTGGGTGGGGAGACCATCACAGGTCATGTTCACAGCAAGACTGGGGAATAACTCCAACACGACCAGGCAGGACACAATGCTTGCACACTGAACTCAACTGTGGCACATCTACACATAGATATATAGGCAGGGGGATAAAATAAATACTTTGGGAATAAGGGGACACCGATCCCGCGGGTGTACAATATCATAGCACACACAACTTGTCACATAGTGCATTGTCTTGGTCTCTGGTGGGGGGAGGGGGGAGGGACGGGGAGGGGAGAGAAGGGAACCAGACACCGAAGCAATATTGCATTGACGTAAAGGGCAACATAGATGGAACCAAAAAATGAAACAGGGAACGCTGGGCGATGTAGAGAAGTTGAGGGGGGCGATGTAGAGGAGGCTGCAAGGGCACGTTCTAGATGAGAAAAGGGAGCAGAGAGATAACGAGGACAGCTAAAAATGTGATAGGCACCCACAATGCCCACACAACACGTATCCTAGACACTGAGACCACGCATACTAAACATGGGGCATGCACACTGAGGTGAGGACTCAACATAGACATCTTCCGGAACACACAGTGCACTATACAGTAGACTCGGAGGAGGGCCAATCAAACCCCGATCGACCACACCCATAAGATGACAACTAGGCCCCATTGGGTGACATCCCCCCCCACCCGTGGCGTCCGGTCCACCACGCCACCCTGACATGTCCCAATGGAAGACAAACTTAACACAGAAATGACCACTGACCCTTGGTTTCAATGTCTGATGATAGCGGAAGCACTGAGAACACTACCTACCAAGAACACACCTTCCAATAGCACCATAATAGCAACTAACAACAGAGATCAGCTCAGACAAAAGTGGGGTATGGGAATCCCACTAGGACTGCCAAACATGACATCACAAACACTAAACTCTATTCTCCTGCATATAGAAATAAAGGCATCCAGGAGCTTATAGCATGTAACTAATAGATACTAGATATAAGATGTATTGACAGAGAATAAATATAGATATCAATATTAATACAATTCTAAAAATCTAAAACACTAAAAGCATCCATAAAAGAATTGATAGACAATCACGTAATCTTATATATCAACAATGCATAAGAGTCCAAATTGTAAATAGACAAGGGATCAGTCCAAGCATAAGAGCAAATAATTACAGCACATATAGTCCTTGAGCATGTATCATAAATAACCTCTGACCTGTTTAAGTATCCTTTACAGAATCAGATGAGGTTCTCATGAATTTATTCTACATTCATATAAAAAAGAGTAAAAAATAAAAGATAAAATAAAAATAAAAATAACATAATATAATAAAACGAAAACAGTCTCCAATATAAAAGTCTGGGCTGACCGCCAAAAACAGCAACTGTAGCAAACAGGGATAGATACTAAAGTATTCCGTAATGATACTTTAGTCTATTCTCCTGTGAACCAGCAGACAAAAGAAGAGTACACCGATTGTACTACCCCCCGCAGACCGGACCTGTGTGTACCCAGACCATTGGGGGTCTCACTCCCGTGGCTGCCCTAGTTACTACAGGGAAGCGGTATGGGCCTGAACTTCACCCAGTTACAGAGGACTCCCTCAAATTGAGGGACGCAACACCCAGGGAGCACACATGGGAGTTCAGATAGTGGGAGACCTCCCAGGTCAGGCTAACACCGGACACAGCTTAAAACACAAGCGCATCAGCCGTGACATCCCTTGTAATAAGGAGCCCCACCTCCTAACACTACAACAAACATTTTCATCACCCCCCAACCCCTTCTTCCTCCCCTCCTTCCCTCCCCCTCACCCTTCCTCACGCGACCTCAGAGTACCCCTGGGTACTGAGGGGAAAAGCACTTAAGAACAGGAAACCACCTGGACACTGCCAGAACACCCACGCTTCCAACATGGCATACACAACAGCACCCTTTCGTATTACAACACAGAACTGCAGAGGACGGAACTCGCTAGAGAAACGCTCTCACCTCCTACGGGACCTTAAACACGGTCGGGTCTCTGTAGCCATGCTCCAAGAGACACACCTCAAAATGTCTCTTAAAAGCAGAAGCTACCCGACCAGCTTCCACAGCACACACCCCACTGCACGCAAAGTAGGAGTAGCAATACTCCTAGCAAACAGCGTCCAATTCACTCTAACAGACCAACTAGCCGACCCGAATGGCAGATACCTCTTCATCAAGGGTACGATATCGCAGAAGACATACACATTTGCCACTTTATATGCCCCTAATGCAAAACAGACGATGTTCCTTTGCAAGACGATCTCGAAACTTGCTCTGGTCCTGGGTGGGGACTTTAATGCCCCCCTGGACCCTTTGTACGACTCCTCAGTGGGACATAGCAGTATCCTCCATTCCGCAGTAAGGACAATACGGAAGACCTTGAGAGACCTGAGACTGGTAGATACCTGGCGGACCTTGCATCCCTCCGATAGAGACTACACGCACTACTCGGCCATCCACAGGAGATACTCACACATAGACTACCTCCTGATCCAACAAGAGGGTGTACAACCTCTGCAGAACGCGGAGATTCTCCCGTCACCATGGTCGGATCACAGCGCAGTACACATGCTTCTGGACTCTCCCCTTTATAGGCCCACACGAACAACATGGAGGCTGAACGAATCGATACTATCGGACCCAGACGTGAGAACACAACTGAGAGAACATCTGCACAATTATTTTGCCGAAAACAATACAGAAGATACATCGAAGATGACACTTTGGTACTCCAGGGACATTTCATAAGAATAGCATCACGCAAAAAGAAGGAAGCGCAACAAAACATAAACGATCTCACTGACAAAATAGCGACACTAGAAACACTTCACAATCAAACACAATTCGAGGCACAATACCGCACTCTACTAGACACCAGACGACAACTCATGGAACTGGTAGCCAGATAACACCACAGAGACTGAAAATTGTTCAGCATTAAAATGACTGTTTAGTAGATAAGCGAGTGCGCTGGATTTTCATTTTCACTGTACTTATTGGCCCCCAGCAGCACCCTAATTTAGCATGTGTAGGTGAGTGCAGCCAAACCCTTATTTTCTCATATATGTATATATTTAGGAGTTTAGCCAGCTCCATGGGTTTTGCACCCCTCCCTGTTACAGGTCCCTCATCTCAGGATCCTATTTAAGCATTGTACTGCAGAGACCTCGAGATGGAAGGATTTCCCCAAGTGAGAAGCTCATTTAGCAGACAGAGTAGGACCTGCCTAAGATGGGGTACATTGACGTTGTGGCAGGCTTATGCAATGTATGATCATATACTGTAACTAAACCCCCATTATATTTTTTTGCCTAGATTAGGTGTTTTTAATAAAACTGAAAATTGTTCAGCATTAAAATGACTGTTTAGTAGATAAGCGAGTGCGCTGGATTTTCATTAACACCACAGAGACACCCAGAGATCCAAAGCCTTCTTCTACATACACGCCAACAAAGGAGGGAGACTGATGGCACGCATGATCAGAAACCAACAAGCTAGGGCTCAGGTACATGAACTGTGAACGACCAAGGGCACCCTCACACAATAGCCGACGAATTCCGTGCATACTATCAAAAATTGTACAACATCGCTCCAGCAAACCCTGACATACATCGGGATGAACTCACAGAGGCTACGACGCAATATCTACAAGGCTTCAGTCCCGACGCCCTATCGCCAGAGGAGGCAAACATGCTAGAGACCCAAATAACTGCAGACGAAATCCAAGCGGCGATCAAATCAGCAAAAAGGGGAAAAGCACCAGGACCAGATGGTCTACCTACAGGGTACTATAAAGAATTCAAAGAGATCCTAACCCCACATCTAATGACGGCCTTAAACCAACTCCAGGAAGGGGACAAATTTCATCAAGAAACTATAGTGGCCACTATCACGGTGATACCCAAACCAGGGAAAAACACCGAAAGCTGTGGTAACTATAGGCCCATATCCCTCCTCAACACTGATGTGAAGCTCATCCCTAAAATCCTAGCGACAAGAATGCAACGATACATCCCACGGCTGGTCCACCCAGACCAAACAGGCTTCATCTCAGGCCGGGAGGCCAGAGACAGTACCCTACGAGCATACACCATTCAGGGACTGGCTTTCAAGGAAAAAACCGATCTACTCATGCTCTCCACGGATGCCGAAAAGGCATTCGATAGGGTGACGTGGAGCTTCATGATGGCAACACGGACCAGGGTCGGCCTGGGGAGAGGCATGCTTTCGTGGATCAAGGCATTATACACTAACCCAAGTGCCAGAGTGAGGGTAAACGGTGCACTCACTCACAGCTTCCCCATACACAACGGCACCAGGCAAGGTTGTCCGCTATCGCCACTCCTATTCGCCCTGACATTAGAACCGTTCCTGGACAACATACGAAGAACACCAGAAATCAGGGGTTATAGACACAGGGACCAGGAACACAAGGTGGATGCATATGCAGACGACATGCTCTTCTTTGTAGAAAACCCTCTACGCTCCCTACCAGCACTACTAGAGAAATTTGCAACATACAGACGAATCTCAGTACTGAAGCTGAATCTCACAAAATGTGAAATCCTAAACGTGGCATCCCCTCTACCAGTGAGAGATCGCATCAAGAACGACTTTCCCTTCCACTGGTGCACGGACCAAATGCATTACTTGGGAATATGGATCCCATCTAAACCGGCAGAGCTATACACCAGAAACTACAACCCCCTCCTACACGCAATTCTGGTGGACCTGAAGACATGGAACTATGACCACATCTCGTGGCAAGGACGCATTGCAGTGGTCAAGATGAACATCCTACCGCGACTACAATATTGCTTTAGCGCCATACCATGGCATATACCCTCAGAATTCTTCACTACGCTCAAATCAGCAATAACCCGATATGTCTGGAGAGGGGAGAGGGCTCGACTCAGCTATGAAAAGATATGTCTCCCCAAAGCATGGGGAGGACTGGCCCTGCCGGTCATACACAAGTACTACCAAGCTACGGTGCTCCAACGGATTAGGGACTGGCAGATGGCCCCAGCAAACAAACTATGGGCAGACCTACACAGAGCGAGCACGAACCAGGCCCTCCGCGCATATATCTGGCAAGATGCAAAAGACGCCACGCAAACTCTAGGCAGCGAATCACCCATCACACAGACTCTGAAAACATGGACAAGGTTGAGAAGGAACCAACTTATATCGCCTTCACCTAGCCCCCTGATCCCACTAACATTTAACAAAGCAATTGGAGTGGGATTACTGCCATCCGCATGGCCGATAGACAGGGACGCAGACTACATCCCTCTGAGTACAGTTCTGAACAACATGGGGCTGCAGAGTCTACAGGACTGGTAAAACATAGAAAGGCAGACACTTATGCACAGATTCCACTATGCACAACTGAGGCACTTCTACCACAACATACCAAACAGAGGAGTGCACAGGGAGATGACATGGTTCGAGCAACTATGCCTGACGGACTCCACTGAAATAGACAGAGTATCAGACATCTACCAGAGACTGATCACAGGAAATCTCACTTGAAAAAATGCATTCAAAAGGCAATGGGAGGAACTAACTGACAGAACATACACAGAGAACAGATCCTTATCTTTCAACACAAAAGTGCCATAAGCACCAGCTATCAGGAAGTCAATTTCAAGCTACTATCTCATTGGTACAGGACCCCTGCCTCACTCCATAGAATATTTCGGGGGACGCCGGATACCTGCTGGAGATGCGAAGCACAGGCAGGTACGCTGCATCACATTTGGTGGGACTGCACACCGATCCAGGCATACTGGGCAGAAGTAAAACAGGAAATAGCAACAATCCTGGGTGACATACCCAAACTCACCATAGAAGCAGTGCTCCTACACTTCACCAGAAGCAATATATCCCAATATAAGAGATCGATATTACAACACCTGCTCAACGCGGCTAAAGCACTAATACAGGCCAGGTGAAAGCAGACGCAACCACCCACCAAAGCAGAATGGTTACAGAGAGTCGAGGAGATCCACACAGCGGAGGCAAGATACGCAGAACTGATAGGGAAAAGCGAGAAACACATGGATCTCTGGAGACCATGGTACACTTATATTTCACAAAACAGAACGTAGGAAGACGCAACATGATCCCTTGAGACCCCTGGGGACCCAAGGGTGCTACGACGTACCTCGCCCTTCCCCCCCCCCTTTTTTTTCTTCCCCTCATCTCATACACTCATAACCTTGCGGGCCATTGCCAATGCCATCATAACGTGTCCGGGGCGGCTGGGATGTACCGAGATCTGTGAAACGTGTCATATAACCAGGACATGTAAAAAACACCTACACACAGAATCAAACTGAGCAACCACATAAACACTGGTGAAGCAACAATAGACAAGGGATAAGGAGGTCTACACACCAAGACACCATCCATATGGAGAAGGAGAGAGGACAGAGGCACAGTCAGACTACCACAGGCAAACCATAAATAATTAGACTTGTGTAACACACGCTAGGAAATAAAAAGACACACTCTCACAAAGACAAGCAAAACTAAAACTAAATTTCCTGAGTGAATCTGATCTGATTCAACCCTAGAAGGAAGCTTACTTCACACATTGGACAGTGATGTATACCCAATCGCAAATAGTAACAACCCGAGACGCAACGTACGCTTAGGCGCAGCAATCGGAAACACACCAAACATAGGGAAACACGACACGAGACACATCCCAGTGACCCAAAAGCAGACAGACCAAAACCAACCGAAGAAGCTAGCCGGCTCCACATAACACAAACCCACGCACAACTCCATAGACAAGCCAGGTTACTTCCACGGGCGGGGACAAAGGATAGACTGCAGGGCAGAGTACGAATACTGAGGGCACCAACCTCAAGCATACACATGCACGACGCAAAGTACTAACGCGTTCCATGCTCACAAGCACCAAAAACACTAGAACAAACAATACTAGCATAACGGGGAACGGTCAGTTACATAAATAAATAGCGAAACTTATCTCCCAGGAGAAATGTCTCCACAAAATTTAACTTACAATACTCGGAACCTGCGTGTCTGTCAACTTTGTGGGCCTGTGGGCCCGTATGAACCTTTGCATTAACTAAAAACTAATCCTGCATAGGTGATATGAGAGGTATGGGAGAAATTAAGCGTTAATAGAAATGAGAGCCTTGAAGCTGCTCATCCCTGACAAAGTGCGCACACGCTAAATGCATATGTGGCAATTATAAATTTTACATGAACTTTGTGAATCAGATTAATCAGAGGTCATGCAAGCTCGGACAAATACTCAATGTTGCTTAACCTTGGCTCCGCACAGGTTGTGCATAGTATATGAAATATGTTACGCTGATGGGGACCTGCGAGTCCCATAGTCAAGGCTCAACCTTGTTACCACAAATAAAAATCGTATTTACAAAAAAAGAAAATAGACAATTGAGTAAAGAAAACCTCTATCAAGTTCAATCTTGAAAACTATTTTTTTTATGCGATCCAAAAAAAACAAACACAATTTGAAGTGATGTAAAATTATGCCAGAAAAAGGAGGAAAATCCCTCTTGACTCCATAATGTGAATCCATTTTTGAAGGTATCCAAACATAGTATCTAATTAATAATGGGCATTGCAGCAGAGATCTGTTCTCCAACACCAGCTCCAAGGATGAGTTACCACAGTTGTGTGATTTTTTTGTTTTGTTTTTTTTTCTTCATGGTAAAAAGTATTATATTTTTCAAATTGTCACT